CTCCCCCCATCACCACTTCCCTGCGGGGCTCAGGCTGCTCCCGACCTCCCGCCTCTCGGGCTTTTCCGCACGGAGGCCCCGCCCAACCCTGCCAGCCGCGCCCTCCCTGCTGCGCACCTGCTCTCCGCACCCGCCCTGATCAGACCTTCCCCGCAGAGCTGCGGGTGGCTCCTTCTGAGCAGGTTTTCTGCTGACTGAATCCAACTCTCCCCGTGCTTGTGGGGTTTTCAAGGCGACTATTGACACACCTTGCATTTTCTAGCCAGAACAGGACACGTTTTCTAGGAAGGTGTTGTTTTTGTTGTTAAAAATACTGCCTTAGCCCTAACCGGTTTGGCTCAGTGGATAGAGCATCGGCCTGCGGACTGAAGGTTCCCAGGTTCGATTCCGGTCAAGGGCATGTACCTTGGTTTCGGGCACATCCCCAGTGAGGAGTGTGCAGGAGGCAGCTGATCGATGCTTCTCTCTCATCGATGTTTCTAACTCTCTATCTCTCTCCCTTCCTCTCTGTAAAAAATCAATAAAATATATTTAAAAAAAAATACTGCCTTAAAAAGTTTGTGAGCGTCACCATGTACATGCCTTGGCTAACAATCCATTATGGGAAGTATCTATACTAATAAAAGGGTGATATGCTAATTAGACCAAACATCTTCCGGACATCCATCCAGATGTCCTTCTGCACAAAGCCACGGTGGCAGGGGCAGAGGCAGCAGCTGTTAGGGGCGACCAGGCTGGCAGGAGAGGGCAGTTAGGGGCAATCAGGCCCTGCAGGCAGGTGAGCAGTTAGGAGCCGACGGTCCCAGATTATGAGAGGGATGTCCAACTGCCGGCAGTCAAACATCCCCCAAGGGGTCCCGGATTGGAGAGGGTGCAGGCCAGGCTGAGGAACTCCCCCCCCTCAGCATGAATTTCGTGCACCAGGCCTCTAGTATGCCTATAATAGGCAGCTGTCTGAGCCAGAATCATAACCTTCCCCTGAAAAACTCTGGCCGGTTTTTCAGCAAATACAACTCCTCCAGCTTCATAGTTGGGAAACTGGAAGGTACTAAAACAGAGTTTACCAGTTGTGTGACTGGGGAAGTTACTTAAGCTCTCAGTGCTTTAGTTTCCTCGTCTAAAAGATGGGACTATAAATAGTACTCATCTCTTAGGGCTGTTATAAGTATACGTATATTGAGTTAATTAATAAGCTTAAAACCTTGCTTGGCCCAGAACAAGTGATCAATAGTGTTAATTACCTCTCATTATTGTCATCACAGCAATTCCCTTCTTAAAACTTTTAGTGGCTTCCAATGGGAAGCATTTAGAGTAAAACCTAAATTCTTCACTGCAACCCTGATCTGACTTTCCAGTCTTGTCTCGCTCTCCCCGTCTTCATTAAGTTCACTAAACCCCCTCCCACTTCAGGGCCTTGGAACATGTGGATCCCTATCTCCAGAACGCTCATGGCTACAAATTATCATCTTCCAGGACACTTGCCCGACCTGCCACCTGTGCAAAGGGACCTGTGCAGATGACCCAAACTAGAGAAATAAATTGATTTCATTTCACAGTAACCTGATCATTTCCATCACAGACCTCATCACAATGTTTATTTGAGTATTTGTGAATTCACTTTCTTTTTTTAAAATATGTTTTTATTGATTTTTATTACTTTGTTTTTCTTTTTTTTTAAATTGATTTTTAGAGCGAGAGGAAGGGAGAGGGATAGAGAGATAGAAACATCGATTGAAAGAGAAACATCATTAATCGGCTGCCTCCTGCACACTGGGGATTGAGCCCACAGCCTGGGCATGTGCCCTGATCGGGAATTGAACCCACGACCTTTTGGTTCCTGGGTCGACGCTCAACCACTGAGCCATGCCGGCCGGGCGTGAATTTACTTTCTTATTGTTACTTTCCCCACAGTGGGAGAAATGGTAGTTTTCAACATGGGAGGGAACTGTAATCAGGTGGGCTTTTTGGGTGCGTTATTATCATTTAGGAGGCAGGGCTAGGGCTGTGTGGGCAGTCCCACTTAAAAAGGCTGCTACTGCTCCATCCATAGGAATAGACGGTTAGCTCTTTGAGAACAGGGGCCTGGCATATCTTGTTATTGCTATATGCTCCTGGCTCAGCGATAGGTATTTGATAAATATAAAATGAAAATGTTCCACTAGCCTCATTATAATTCTGACAACTGCCATATTAGTTATCCTTATTAATAATGCCCTGGCCCAGCCCTGGCTGGATAGCTCAGTTGGTTAGAGCATCGTCCTGATATGCCAAGGTTTTGGGTTTGATCCCCTGTCAGAACACATACAAGAATCAACCAGTCAATGCACAAATAAGTGGAACAACAAATCAATGTTTCTCTCTCCCCCCTCCCTTCCTCTCTCTCTAAAATCAATAAAAAATAAAAAGAATGTCCTGAACCTTAAGGCTAATTTTCTGATTCAATTTCTTTCAGATTCTGCTTGAAAAAAGTATAGCTATGCCCATTCTCACCAGCGATGTTGTGGTTTTATTGAGTTCCTTCATGAAATTACCAACTGGTAGGTTTTAAGAACTGTTTTCTAATGTTGGTATATTTTAAATAATGCTTCATAACACTTTATCTACGTGAGTGTGGAATTCTGGAGGATGTATTTCCAGATCTAAGAGAGAAAAGGATTCAGAGTTTCTCCTTTGAGGCTAGTCAAATCTGTCTTTACTCACAGTCCCCAAAACTGAAAGGAAAATAAAGTATGTTTGCCCCAAGGGCATTAAAAGAAAACATATGAAATGTATCAGGGTGAATAATTCGATGAGTCCCATTACTCTGTTGAGTTCAGCAATCTGGTGGGGTAAGGACCTGGCAGAGAGCTGAGAGAGAAGAATAGGAGCCAGAAATATCACACCTCTATTGCATAATGGGTTTGGGGTGATGATGGTGGGCACCAGAAAAATCAACCAACACTGATCATTGTTGAAGCTGGGTGAGGAGTGCATGAGGTGGAGTGGGATTTATTGTGAGGGGCAGTTCCTCAACTTTGTGAATGTTGGAAAATATTCTTAATAAAAAAGTTGAAAACAAAAATCAATTCAACTAATGCTCTGTATAGAAAGAGCCAGAGGCAAATTTTCCCAGAGCCAATGGCGGTTGAGCCTCGGGCCCCTGACTTGCACGGGCCCCTTCCAAGTGCTCACCAATGTGTTCACAGGGTCATTTGTTTTTGTAAACTGTACAAAGTAAGATATTTTAACTACCAATGGTTAAGATACTTCCTCTGCCTACTCCGATTACCCTCTCAGATTTCTTTTGTGTTGGATGGCACTGGGGTGGCTGCAGTATTTTGGGAGTCCAGTAAGAAGACATTAAACTGGGATAGAGTTGGTTTCGTTGTGGTAGAATATGCTTATGTGATTTGCAGTTATTATTAGCAGTCCTGGTTGAGAAATAGCTTCCAGGAATACTGCTACCCACTGTGCTGACTCACCTGTGGAAAGGTATTGAAGGTCAGAGGTCATAGTCCAGTAACAATGTGCCCTTAGAGCCCCTAGCGCCAGAAGTATGTGGGTAGTAGAAGAGAAGCAAAGTTTGAAATGCACGGAGCCTGAGACCGCCTGTGGAAAATTCTTCTAGTCACCAGATATGTAAAGTTGCAAACACAGTTTCATTCTTGTCTAGGTCTGATCAACATAGAAGCTCTCCCCTGTCTGGAATACACTCTAATACAGTGGTTCTCAACCTTGGCTGCACATTAGAATCACCTGGGAATCTTTTTAAAATCCTGATTTCTGGGCCTCATCCTCCGGAAATTCTGTTTCTTTGTTATGGGGTGGGGCCACAACATTAGTAACAAAGAAACAGAATTTCCGGAGGATGAGGCCCAGAAATCAGGATTTAAAAAAGATTCCCAGGTGATTCTAATGTGCAGCCAAGGTTGAGAACCACTGCTCTAATAGCACTGTGGTGGCTTCCACATTGGAGAACCCTTCTTCCAGAATTTCCTTGCCTGTGTGGGCCCAGATTGGAGTTGTTCACAGGAGACATTTGCATACAGTCAGAAAGGTGGAGGGGAAGCAGCTGGTCATGGGGAACCAGGCACTGCAGCCCGTTGCACATGTATGCCTCTTGATCTGTGGGCTCACCCTACTGGCAAGGGGCAGTCAGCGTTAGCTTTCTTTTGAGATTGTTTTGCAGATCTTGTTACTTTACATTCATATCTACTCGTTTTTTTAAAAGAATTCAAACAGACTTACACACGTATTGACATGATTCCTGACCTCAAGAAGCGATCTAAATGAAAGTCTGACACATGCTACAACATGGATGAACAACCTTGAAGACATTATGCTAAGTTAAATAAGCCAGACACACACACAAATATTATATGATTCCACTTATTTGAGTTTCCTGGAGTAGTCAAATTCATAGAGACAGGAGGAGAATGGGGGTAGCCAGGGCCTGAGGAGGAGAATGGGGGTAGGCAGGGCCTGAGGGGGGTAGCCAGGGCCTGAAGTAGGGAGTTATTGTTTAATGGGTGCAGAGTTTCAGTTCCAGAAGTTCTGGAGATGGATGCTGTGATGGTTGCACAACAATGTGAATATACTTCATGCAATTGAACTATACACTTCACATGGTTAAAATAGTAAATTTGATGTCATATATGTTTTATCACATAAGAAAAAGGATTTTAAACAGAAGCCATCAGTCTAGTGAAAGAGGCAGATAGGTTAATAGGAAAAATGGGTGGGTTCTGAGATCTACTGGTGACATGGGGCAAGGGGATATGGAAGCAGAAAGGATGCTGCCTCCCATTCCGCCTGTGGGAGAGGAGCAGAGGAACCCGGGGCAGAGAAGGGGATAGACACCAGGAGGTGGAGAGTGAGTCTGAATGGGTTAGGGGCAAGCAGACAGAACACAGCAGCTGAAGGGACGACCTGGGCCCAGACTGAAAACCACCGGAGTGCTCAAGGTCTCAACCATGGTTACCCTAAAAAATCCAGGTCTGAATAGAAACGTGTTATATTGTTATCACTCTCACTGTTAATCTTGGAAATACAGTATTGCATTTCTGTATTGGCTCAGCTACACTTTTGGGAAATAGCCACACCCAAGGAAATATTGAATAAAAATATCTAATCACGCACGGTTTACTATAACCTTTTAAAGCTTAAATAACTTAGATAATTTAAAGCTTAAATAACCATTTAAAGCAGTAACGATTAGGAAAATAAAGCTGCATTATTCTTTTGTTAT